GGGGGGGGGGGGGGGGGGGGGGGTGGGGGGGGGGGGGGGAGACATCTAGGGTTAGTGCAGGCAGGCTGGCAACAACAATGGTTAAGTGTCTTCAGAGCTAGGGGTCAAGGGGCCAAAAAGGCCACCAGACTGGGAAGCCTGGAGATCCCAGAGGAAAATGGACCACAAACTTGGGGCGTGATGCTAATTACACGGATCGACTATTTGGGCCAAAAACCGATTTCGTACTCCACCGTCACACTGCGGCGGTATTCCGCACCGTGGACGGTCAGGAAGCCAGCGGCTACCGGCCACATTATTGTTGCCAACAAGGACATGGTTTGGCAAATGCTAATCGCTCATTCGCCTCTAAGAAAGCTAGTGCTTAAGAAAGAAAATAAAATGCGAAAGGTGAGCAACGAAGACGAAAGGAAAGGGGTCCTGGGCAAACGTTAGAGAGGCACAGAAACCAAAAGGATGCAGGGGTTTATTCTCACATATCCCAGCGGAGTTTCCTCTGGAGAAGGTGACACATATTCATTTGACAAGTGACGACAAAGACGAGAGGGGACAAAGAGGGAAAGAAGAGACATCGGAATTAGACGGCAGCACCGATAGGAGGCCACAGAGAGCGGTGCGCGTGAGAGATGGGCCCACACTGATGACCGGGGGTGTCAAAGCCTGATAAACACCTTCCTGTGGCCAAAGAAGCTGGCTGAACTGCAGCCAGACACCGATCACAACCTTAATCCCACCCAATAAAGAGACACTAAAAATACGAATAAAGAGGAGAGCTAGCTGTCAGCTGAAAGACAAACGAAAGGTACTTCGAAATGAGGTCCACAGGAAGGCGGCCTGGCCGTGGATCCATACTGCCACCCACCATCACAGTGCTGGCCAGCCTCTCTGCCGCACACCGCGCTCGAGCACAGACACAGGGATGCAAGGAACAGCAGCCTGCGCGGCCAAATTAAAGGCGTTTTGGGCCTCGCTGACAAAACTGCGGGCCAAAAAAAAACAAAAACAAAAACAAAAATCGCCCCAACAGGCCGGCCTGCTCACCCCTTCCCCGTGTCCTCCTGCCCGCTCTCTCCTGCTTACACACGGAAGGGAACGACAACACACGGGCAGTCATACCTCACGGTGATCTCGCGCTGATGCGGTTAAGAGTGCATTCAGGTCAGGGTTTAGCAAACGTGCCGTTACAGATAGACAGGGGGGAGAGAAATGAGAGAGAGAAAAAAAAAATATAAAAAAAAAATCACGTGACTGCTGGAATGTGCTGTTCCAAATGGCAAGCCAGACCAGCGCCCCCTGGAGGG